TTTTTTCTTTATTTTTTCAAAAAAGCTAGACACCCTGGAACGACGGCTCTAGTATATTTTTATGGTAAATTGTTATAAATTATAGTAAAAAAGTGAATTTTTTGTTGAAGTTGGGATGAACAAAGGTTCACTTTTTTGCTTGATCCTTTCAGAAACAAGTCACAGTTCAATGGAAAAGTCGGATCAAAAATTTATTGAGATGACCACAACCAATTACGATAATAAATTAATTATAAAATATAACAAAGACCAAACTGCATCATAAAACATACTGGTTTGGAATATTCAAAATCAATTACATCATAAAATAACAAAGAAAAAATAATAACGCATAGACTTTGAGGTGTCTTGAAATTTCATTGTACAATTGATCTTAAAAACAATAACAAGGGAAATTAAATAGATTTTTTGTAAACTTTGAAAAATACAATAATTTAAAAATTGGGTTTTGCTATTTTTTATGATACAAAAAGATAAGACGAAAAGACACTTTTGTTTGTTCCGACTTCGAAAAAAAAATCTTAGAGAACATAAGTATAAAATAAACAAAAAATATCTAAAATACATTTTCAAAAGTTTCAAAAATCGAAAAATCGAAAAAAAATTCTCGAAAATGACTTAAACAGTCAATATAGTCGCGTTTGTATAAACTTTGATCACCACCAGGTTTTGTGGTTACTCGTTGAGTTTCAAGTCGTGCCACTGTCAAATAAACAAGATATGAATTCGTTATTTGTTATTTTATTTTTTATCATTTTCAAACAAAAACAAAGGGCAAAATTGATTTGATATTATCATTTTCATATAAATGTTATTGTATATGGTAATCAAATGCTTATTTTGCATTCACCGTTTATGCAATTTTAAATTATGCATTTTTGGGCAACAAACAAATAATTTAAATTAAAAATAAAGGGATAATAGAAATTATAAACAAAAAACAAATAGCAAAAAACTTAACAAATAATAAAAAAATAATTTGAACTATATTATATAATAAAAAATATTATTTATAAAAATGGAAATTTAATAAATTATAGTTTTGTAATAATAAATTTACAATTTGATAGAATTATCAACAAACACCATTATAACACCATTATCACCATAACACTCATGCATATACTTTACCAACGGTTGTTTATGATGTGTTATAACGACATCACGATGTTGTTATAACACAAGTTTTTAAAAACATATCCATAAGTAAAAAAGAAAAAAAAATGGTATAATGACCCCTATTTTTATTTTATTTCACGATAATTTTTTTCGAGGTTCAATAAAAAAGCACGTATTGAATGAAATAAACAGTTCCTACTTTATAAAAAACCAAACAAAATAGAAAAATCATTTCATTTTCATTAAAGCACCAGAAAGATTGTTCAAAAAATCCACTCGTTTGCAAGGGTGGTAATTTGAGTACGTTTTATACGCGTTTAAGGCAGCTATATCAATCATATCATATAAAGCTTTGATGTTCCACCTGTTTGTTCGACGTCTACACGTATAATACCTGGTCATCTGATCCACAGTGTCAACCCAACCCATTTTGTGGTTGTAATCAAGAAAAGGCTGGGGTTGTTGTATTGTCATTTTTTCTTTGCCAATAAACACATCCTGCTCGACGACTCCAATTTCATTCTTTTCGTGGCAGGTTGACAAGACCAATACCAGCTTCTTTTTCTCGTTGAAGTAAGAGATGAGCTTACACTTTCCTTTCGAGAAAAAGATGGTGGTATCGGGAGTTCTCCCTTTGATGGTCTTTGCTTCGTCAGGAAGTTCTTTCCTATTGATCCTCATGGTTCCCAAAAGTTGGCACCCACATGAAGCAAGGTAGTGTGACAACCTTAACGTACAAAAGAAGTTGTCACACACAACGGTAAACTTGTTACCACGGCATAACATGGGTAGCACCATGTCCCTGACCACTCTAAAGCCCTGATTGTCCTCCTTACCACCACACTTACCACAGTACATTTGGAGGTTTAGAGCCATTCCTGTCTCACAGTCAGCACACATTTACAAGTTAGAAAACTATAAATAACTCAAATAAACAAATAATTAAATTATTAAATTTGATCATTCATGTCAAACCAATAATAACTATCCGTCATTTTTGACTTCATAAATAAAACTCATTTGGTAAAAATAGAACAAACCCAAAACTTTATACCATAACGTCCAGGCTTAGACTTAATAAACACCTTAGCCCACATATGCCCTTTATAAGAACACAAATGTTCGTCAACCGAAACACTATTACTAGGTTTGTAATAGGTTTGGTTGACAAGGTTAGAAATAAACTTATCTAAAATCACTCTAATTTTAGAAAAGCTGTCGTGTGCATTTGGAGTTATTGCAGGGACGACTTTAACAACTCCACTACCAACGATTCCCCCATTGATTCTGACATCTTTCCTGAGTTGCTCTTCAGAGAGATCTCTGAAATCTCGATCTGAATATTCCGCGCAGTTGAAATACTCTCCTTCTGGTCCGATGTCAGCTTCCTCTTTTTCTTCGACATCCCCATCATCTGAAGTGTCTGGTGCATCATCACAAACATCATCTGGCTGGCCCACATCGTAAGTTTCGATGTGTGAAGAAATGAATTTAAAATTGTCACGTGGCATGCTATTTCTATAAATAGATTTTCCGTGGTCGATTGACCAAAGCTCTTCCACGGGATTAATAACATCATGGTGAGCTCCCATGTAGAGAAGAATTCCTAGGTACCTCAGGATGCTCGTTTTAGAAAGTTTGTTATCATCAGTCTTATGTTCTTTGGCTATTTTTTTATTTGAAAACAATAAAAGGTTATTTGTTATCTCTTCACAAAAAAACAACCTAAAACACTCAACTTCAGTTAAATTACTTCCTTTGGGATCAAACGAGTAAGTCGGATCAGGCGAAGCTTTAACGTGTCGTGAGCTTTTTGGTGCTTCTCCTTCTTTCTTCCATTTAAATGTGCCAACAATCTCGTCTTTATGCATAAGGTTTATGTTTTTTAATTCGATAAAAATGTTTGCGATTGAAATTTATTGTTTTAATTTAACATATTATAATATTACATTGATTTACATTTATATAATAAATAATAATATTACTATTAAAAACGATCAATAAAAAAATAATTATTAAATATTATTGTAAACTGTTTTTCAAAACTCTGTACTGGGATGACCCAATTTATTGGACTTATTATTCCTAAATTATTTTTCCTTTGCTTAACCCTCATTTTTTGTTCAAATATTTACTCGTAAAAAACAAAATAACTAACCTGACTTTTTTTTATTTTACTTGACAAATAAATCTTGCACCCAAAATTTACTTGAAAAATATAAAAAACAAACTTGGGATTAAATTTTTGATTACAATAACACAAATTTTGCCAATAAACGAAAACATAATTGTTTAATTCAATATCTGTGTGTACAGAATCGCCAAGTTGTGTTTCATATAAAAAAAGTTATGAAAGAGTAAAACCAGCATTTAATAAATCGTTTAAGACTTTACAATTGAAAAGTTTTTTTTTTATTTTTTAACTGTTTATTTGATTTTATACTGTAGTAATTAGCGACCTTGTTCTTTTAAATGTTTGTTTTATGTTATCAATGTCTTTTTTAATTGTTGAATTTAAATATATTAAAATAAGTTGAACGTAATTTTTTTCCTTGTTAGTTGGAAAAAATTTCAATTTTTGTTTTGGATGTTTTTTCGATTAAAAATAGTATTATGTATATATTGTTAAAACTTTATCTAAAAAACATTTTCAAAATGCAACATTTTGAAAAGCTTTAAATTTGGCATTGTATCAAAAATATATAATTGAATTATTTTGAATGTTGTATATTTTGGATATACATGTTTTCAACGCAATGTCGTTTTGAATAAAAAACACGTTTAACAAATGAAAAACATCGGTTTTACAATTTCATATTTATTAATAGTTATCAATTTAATTTATTTTTTTGCCAAAATATATAAAAAGAAATAAAAATGACAGATCATTGTTTCATATATTATAATTATTAAATGTTTGTTTCAATAGTTTTTTTTTAAAAACAAGAGTTTGGTTTATCATGTTAACAAATGTTTTTATTACATTTAAATTTTATTACAATTAATAATTTGTAATAAAAGTTGAATAAATAGTTAATGATTTATATATCATTAAAAGTTTAAATTGAAACAAAAATATAACTAAAATTTTATATAGATCTGTTTAAAAGTTATCTAATTCTTAATTTAATTTAACTCGTCAACATATAATAACCACAATTTTGGTGTAAATAGAATGCAATTTTTTAAAGTAAACTAATATAAAACATTAAGATGGGGGGTTATTATATTTTAGACAATAATTTATTAATTTTTGAATGATTAAATTTAACCAAAACGTTAAAAGTAATATTGAGTATTTTTTAATCAACTATTATGCAAACATAAAACAAAATGTACAATATAATAAGACATTAAAAATTATTCATTTAAATATGTTCATAAATCATTACAAAATATATAAATTCAATAAAAAAACTTTGTGAACATTAAATCAAGTAAAACATTTTGGGGTTTATGTAAATAATTACAAAATATTTTTAATAATTCATATAAAAAAGTAAAAATCTTTAATTAATCAAAATGATAAATTGGATATATTCGATGTTGTTTGTTG